GGGACGGAATGTTTCCCTCACACAGATTTATATTGGGACTTTTCCCCTCCGCTTTGGCCTCGTTCTAATGGTGGGAACTTGAGCTGTTTGGAATTTCCTGCACCGTGGAAAACGCACATTGTCGTATCAGAGACAAGGGGATTCCAGAAGGCGGTCGGAGGAATTCTGGTGTTCCTGAGAAGACCACTAATGCTGGTTGTTCAACAGTCCCCAAAGGACAGTTCCCTCAGACTTCTCATTTTGGCATGAGGAATTCCTCTAGTAGTTTCACTGATGCCCCTCAGCAAAGAGGTAGACCACCCGACTTTATTAATTTAGTACATTTTCATTCTGCCTATCATCGAAGAAGCTCAGGGCAAGCACTTACTTCCCTCCGCTTGACCCTTTATTAGGGTTGCCAACTCCATATTGGGAGATTCCTGGAGCTTTGAGGCTGGAGAAGGTGCAGTGTGGAGGGTAGGACGAGACCTGGGCCAAAGAGTCCACCCGCCAAAGCAGCCATTCCTTCCAGGGGAACAGGAATCTCTGTCATTTGGAGGCCACTCCTGATCCCAGGAAATCTCCAGGGCCCACCTGGAGGTTGGCTACCTGACCAATTATCCTGTGGCATTGCCTTCAACTGACAGAAAAATGGCTATCCTAAGGCCACCCTGTGAGCGCCACGTCCAGGAAGGAGGGATATCGAACTAAAACCTTCCCTCTCTGGCCATTACGTTGCCCAGAGAAATGGGATAAATACCTGATAATAAAGAAAGCGGAAGTGCCCTTTATCTAGTGTTGCCAGCTCTGGGTTGGGAAATACCCTGAGATTTTGGGGGTGGAGCCTGGGGAGGGCGGGGTTTGTGGAGGGGAGGGATCTCAGGAGGGCATAATGCCTTACAGTCCACCCTCCAAAGCAGCCATTTTCTCCAGGGGAGCTGATCTCTGTCATCTGGAGATCAATCGTAATCGTGGGAGATCTCCAGGTAAAACCTGGAGGGCGGCAACCCTTCCTTTGCCATCTCTTTGTTTCGTGGAATCCATCCAGGAATGACAAGATCTAGGAAGCCAGACGTAGGGAAGGGACCCGGCCTTGTATATGCTTACAGTTGTCGAGTCAAATTCCTGTGTGCAAAGATTCGGAGGGTGGGAACTGAAATATTAAGGAGTCAATATTAACATATCATTATTTACACTGCTCACTTTACATAACACGGGCCTCCTACGTGGGATACCACACATAGCTCTGTCTGGATTGTTCTCTCTTTCTGGTCGCTACCGTGTCGTTGAAAGGCGTGGTGTAGTGGTTCAGCGTGACGGACTCTAATCTGGAAGAACCGAGTTTGTTTCCCCACTCCTCCTCCTCGTGAAGCCAGCTGGGTGACCTCGGGCCAGTCACAGTTCTCTCCGAACCCTCTCCGCCCCACCTACCTCACAAGGTGCCTTTTGCGGGGAGAGGAAGGGAAGGTGATTGTAAGCAGGGGTCGTTTCGTGGAAAAAGAGCTAGGGGAACTCATTAGCATAATTAGCTCTCTTGTTGATGGTATAGCTTTAGACTTCCAATGCTTTGCTATGAGAATTCTTGCTGCTGTTAGTAAATATACTATTATGTGTTTGTCAGGGGTCGTTTTGTAGAAAAAGAGCTAGGGGAACTCATTAGCATAACTCGTTAGCATATGCCACACCCCCTGACATCACCGGAAGTGTGTCATAAGGCCACACACCCCGCCCCCAACGGTCCCGGCCGCTGCCGTCGGCCTTGCAGCTCCACTGCCGGGTCCCATGAGGGGCCCGGCGGTGGACCTGCAAGGCCAGCGGGAGTGTGAGGAAGCCCCGCGAAGGCCCTCCCTGGCCCCAGGCAGGCAGGGGTGGGGAGAGGCAGGGAGGAAGCAACTTACCCTCCCTCTTCTCCTGCCTCCTCCTGGCTGAATGAGGGCCGGAAGCGGGGCGGCCGGAAGCAGGGGGCGGGGCTTCGTCATGTGCCCCGCCCCCCGTACCTCACCCGGGGGAACTGCGATCCCCCCCGAAATGACCTCTGATTGTAAGCCACTTTGAGACTCCTTAGGGTAGAGAAAAGCGAGGTATAAAAACCCGCTTCTTCTAAAATCTTTCCTGAGGGGTTCTCTCCCTGCTGTTGAAGCTTGGCCTCTTTCTGCTATTTTTAAATTATCTAGTGGCATTCCATATTCCTTAATGGAGAACAGAACCATAATGCTGTTCAGTCAGTCAGTCAAGCCAGCGTGATCCCTGGCCTCTTGCATAGATATTGGGGACGGCCAGACGTGTACATTTGTGAGAAAGTCTCCATACTGGAGATCCAGAGATACCACAACTGAGAGATACTTACAGCACAAAATAGGTATTGTGTGTACTGACGGAACAGATACTTCACTTACAGTGGAGGGGGCGTTGGAATATGTATTCTCGTGTGAGCAAATAACAAAGGCACGAGAGGGTTTCATTTTACGTTCATACCGATATTAAGGCTATGGTAAAGAAAAGAAAGGGTCTTTTGTCTTCCAGTCGACGGCTCAGCCGTACAACAGAAATGGAGACGTTATTTTTTTTAGTTGTCCGAGGAAGAGTCCGAATTCATCGCTTCAGAGGGCCCCCGTGTTTGGGGTTCCCAGCCTCCAGGTGGTCGCTGGAGCTCTCCTGCTATTACAACAGAGATCAGTTCCCCTGGAGAAAATGGCTGCTTTGGAAAGGTGGACTTTATTGGCCTTATATCCCTCTGAAGCCCTCCTCCCCCCAAACTCCGCCCTCCTCAGGCTCCACCCTCAAATTTTTCGGGTATTTCCCAACCCAGAGATGGCAACCCTAAGCGTATCATAGTTGGTGGGTCCTTCAGACATCTGAGTCCCAGGGGTCATTTTGTAGAAAAAGAGGTGCAGGAGCTCATTAGCATAACTCATTGGCATAACTCATTTGCATATGCCACACCCCCTGACATCACCAGAAGTGTGTCAGAAGGCAACACCCACCACTCAGGCTCCAGTGCTTCTGTGGATTGCCGAGCTATGGGGGGGGGGGGGGGAATGTGCAGATCTGTCCTCGCACAGGAGGGAGAGCTTGTCCTGAATAAAACCTGGTCTTAAAGGTGCCACTGGATTGTTTTGGGCCCGGGGGGGAGGGGCTCTGCAACTTGCCTGGCTGCTTCTTGCTCTGACTGAGGGCTGCTGGGAGCAGGGGGTGGGGCTTGTTTCATGTGCCCGCCCCCTGGGCTCTTTACTGCCGGAACTCCGCTCCTGTGCGCTCCTGCAGGAAATGACCCCTGCATCTGACCATGAATAACTGTGGGAAGAGCAGTCTAAGCGACGGGGTCCATCTTGTGCCATATGTCTGCATATGTTCTGTCAACGATTTGCTGGTCAGGTTCTTATTTTATAACTATCAGGCCTTACTGCCCTTTGCACCTTGACGTTGGAGTGAGTCTCTTTGAACGGTTAACTATTTTGGGGGGGCACGCTCCAGATCTGGTTGCAGAGTCGCAAGTCTGCTCACTTAGGATGACGTCAGTGGGACTGAAGCAGCTGCTATTGTAGCAGGAGGAGGAGGAGAAGAAGAAGAAGAGGAGTTGGCGGGGAAATCAAACCCGGTTCTCCAGATTAGAGTCCGCCACTCTTAACCACTACACCACCCTGCTTAAAAAACAGAGAGTGTACGAATAGGACTCTGTTGTTTTAACCCCCTTTATTACTCTTTCAATATATAATGGCAAGTACCACCAATATTAGGAGCTGCGGTGGCTCAAGTGGTTAAGACGCTGAACTGCAGGCTGTGGAAGGTTAGTAGTTCAGCAGTTCGAGACCCGGGTGCCGCATGACGGAGTGAGCTCCCGTCTCTAGTTCCAGCTCCTGCCAACCTAGCAGTTCAAAAGCAAGAAACTGCAAGTAGATAAATAGGTACCACTTCAGTGGGAAGGTAACAGCGTTCCGTGCGCCTTGGTGTTTAGTCATGCCAGCCACATGACCACGGAAACGTCTTCGGACAGTGCTGGCTCTTCGGCTTTGAAACGGAGATGAGCACCGCAACCCTAGAGTCGGATTTGACTGGCTTTCAAGCAAGGGAACCTTTACCTTTTTACCACCAACATTGGGCTTTTCTGCTGGTATCATTTTGGGCCTCTTGTTGAACATTAGCTTGTGATCAATCTGTACTTAAAAAAAAAAAATGTTTCGTCTGTCAATCTTTTATTACAGCCCACGGGCCATTCAGAAGCAGGAAAAAACCCAATTAAAAACACTTATTATAAAGTTAATTATATGCATAAAATCACAGCCTGCATCGTTCCTCCTCATAAGCTGAATCCGTTGTCCACCAGACCCGTGTTTTCATTGCAGAGAATAGAAACGTAGCCACAGATACAGTAGTTCTTTGGTCAACCCCTGCCTATAAGATTTTGAGAGCCTTCTGCATTTTTAGAGTCATTTTTTAAAATCCTGAATGCACTTATAGAAAGAGTCAGTGTGGCGTAGTGCTTAGATTGTCAGACAAGGACCCTAGAAGACCCAGGTTCGAATCCCCACTTTCTGCCATGGAAGCTTGCTGTGGACCAGTCACACACACTCTCAATTCAGACTAAATTACCTCACAGGGTATTTTGAAAAAGAAGAGGAGATTGGATTTATACCCTGCCTTTCACTACCCGAAGGAGTCTCAGAGCGGCTTACAATCTCCTTTCCCTTCCTCTCCCCACAACAGACACCCTGTGAGGTAGGCTGAGAGAGCTCCTCTGAGAACTGCCCGTGAGAGCGCATCTCTGAGAGAACTTGTGACTGACCCAAGGTCACACCAGCAGCTGCATGTGGAGGAGTGGGGAATCAAACCCGGTTCTCCCTGATTAGAGTCCACGCTCTTTACTACACCAAACTAGCTCTTGAGAGGAGAAAGAAATAAGCAACTTCGGGTTCTCGTCGGGGAGAAGAAAGGCGGGAGATAGATGAAGCAAACGCATGAATAAACCATGGGTGTGTAAACGTACCATAAGAATGCTAACGTGGCTCCCTTTCTTTCCACAGAGACACTTTTGCAGTGGACGGACACATTGACATCACCGCTTCCCGTTCTCTCAGCTCGGAGTGTCTCGGGTCTGACTCGCAGTACACGAAGACAGCATGGCCGAGTGGATTTAAGCTACGGCTGAGGAACAGGTGAGGAAGGAAACGTTTCTGCCCAACTCCACGCTTCTTCCTTGTTTACGTTACACGGAGTCGTATTAAAACGAAAATACTCGGGGCTATTTCAGTCGCATTCGTGAGGTGCCTCGGTAATCGCTCGCCGTGCTGCTCCAGTGCAGCATTTAAGACAGATAAAACCCCAAGACATTTGAGAGACGCAGTGTAGTAACTGGGGTGGGGCCACAGACCCAGGGGGCGGGACGACAAAGAAAGTGGACGTCCTTGGTCCAGAGGCCGGGATCCTAAGGAACTGGCCCTGTGTATTTGGGTCGGTGATAAGAAAAGAACAAAAGAGAAGCCAATGTTGGATCAGGCCAAAGGCCCATCCAGTCCAACACTCTGTGTCACACAGTGGCCAAAACACCAGGTGCCATCAGGAGGTCCACCAGTGGGGCCAGAACTCCAAAAGCCCTCCCACTGTTGCCACCCCTCAAGCCAGTACAGTTGAGAGCCTGTCTTCTGGATACGCCAGTCTAGGGTGGTCACTTCCAGGTTGGGTAGGGTTGCCAATTCCAGGTTGGGAAATACCTGGAGGGTTTGTGGGGTGGAGCCTGATGAGGGCGGGGTTTGGGGCATACTGCCATGGAGTCCCAACTGCCAAACCAGCCATTTTCTCCAGGTGAATGGCTCTTTGTCACCTAGAGATGAGTTGTGATAGCAGGAGACCTCCAGCCACCGCGGAGTCTGGGGAAGGTGAGATTTGGGGAGGGGAGGGGCCTCAGCCGGATCTGACGCCATAGAGCCCACCCTCCAGAGCAGCCATTTTCCCCAGGGGAACAGGTCTCAGTAACCTGGAGTTAGCTTTGCCAGGTCTGGGTTGGGAAGTACCTGGAGACTTTGGGGTTGGATCCAGGAGAGGGCGGGGTTTGGGGGAGGGGAGGGGCCTCAGCATGGCACAAAGCCAGAGAGTCCACCCTTCCAAGCAGCCATTATCTCCGTGGGAACTATCTCTACTAGGGTTGCCAGGTCCGGCTTGGGAAATGCCTGGAGACTTTGGGGTTGGATCCAGGAGAGGGCGTGGTTTGGGGAGGGGAGGGGCCTCAGCATGGCACAACGCCAGAGAGTCCACCCTTCCAAGCAGCGATTTTCTCTAGGGGAGCTGATCTCTGTCGGCTGGAGATGAGTTGCAAAAGCGGGAGATCCCCAGGCCCCACCTGGAGGCTGGCAACCTTACCTGGAGTCCAGCTGTCATTCCAGGAGAAGCAGAACCAAATAAACAAACCCTCGGGAGGGTTCCCTCCCCGCCCAGGAAAAGAGGCGGCAGCTCTGCTATGTGCCTGGCCAGCTTCCTCTTGTTATGGTAAATTAACAGCCGTTCCATCACCTCCCATGTCGTCCGGAGGAGAAAATGATACTCAGCAAAGGCTGAGATAGTATCACGGTGATGATGGGACTTCCTCTGAGCCCTGAGCCCCGGCCACCCCGCCTCTTCCAGCCCCACACCAGGGAGGAGAAGGAGCTGGACTCAGGTGTGGTGTTCCGGGCAAGGCAGAACTCTTCTGGATACCGGTGATGGTTCTGTGGGGCTGCTTCCGCGGAGTGGAGGATGGGGAGGGAGTTGCGGAGACCCAGGTGACGGGCGCTCCCGAAAGAAGGCGAGCTGGCGGAAGGAAAGGAAGGTGCGGCTTGGTTATTTTCTCTTCCCCCTTTTTCCTCTTTTCCTTTTTCCCCGTGGGGAAAGAATCTGGGCGGTGGAATCGGGTGGAGATGGGCAAAAGAGATGGGGAAATGTGGAGGATTTGCCGTTCTTGAGGGCTTCGGCTAGAAGGCGCTCAGTTAATCGCCTGACAGTGCCAAAAATCTCACTCAGTCGGCAAAACAATTCATTTTATCCATTTTGCTTCATTCTCACCACGCCTTCCACCCCAAAGGGCTTATGTCGTCCTCCTCTCCTCCATTTTATCCTCCCAGTAGCCCTGTGAGGTAGGTCAGTCTGAGAATGTACAGCTGGCCCATGGTCGCCCAGCAAGCTACCATGGCAGAGTGGGGATTCGAACCTGGGTCTCCCAGATCCTCATCCTTCACTCTGACTGCTATACCACGCTGGTTCCGTACGTTTGTAAGGTCACTTGCATGCACTACCCAGGTTTTCAGAACATGTTTGGTGTAGTGGTTAAGAGCGCGGACTGTAATCTGGGAGAACTGGGTTTGATTCCCCACTTCTCAACATGCAGCTGCTGGTGTGACCTTGGGTCAGTCACAAATTCTCTCCGAGCTGTTCTCTCAGGAGCAGTTTCTGTCAAGAGCTCTCTCAGTCCCACCTACCTCACAGGGTGTCTGTTGTGGGGAGGGGGAGGGGAAGGAGATTGTAAGCCACTTTGAGACTCCTTCGGGTAGTGAAGGGGGGAGGAAAAATCCAATCTCTTCTTCTTTTTCTTCTTCTTCTTCTCTTCAGCCATTCCCATGTACTGAGGAGGCAAGCAGCTTTTTAAACCGAGCAGCACTTTGCCTTTTCTGCAGTGGAAACTGCTGAGGAGAAGTCATCCCTTATACCTGCATGATTAACTTCCTGAGGTCACAGAAAAACACTTCGTTTCCCTGTCTTTCCTAAACATTTTCCCACTTTCCTTTCTGTTGCGCTTTAGAGTGTGCTGGAAGGTTGCTCGTAGGTGCAGTTCTAAGCAGAGTTACACCTTTCTAAGGCCATGGACTTCAGGTGAACTTCGAAGGATGTGACTCTAATTAGGATTGCTCCGTTGTTCCACCGTTTGCAGAGAATAAGGGAGATGAAGGAAGAAAGCGTAGACCTTTTGACAGCGTAGCAGATAAGCTCCGAAAGCAGAAGGTAAACAAGAGGAATCGCCGATTTCACCCTCTGTGCCTTCTCTGCACTGAAGGATATCCTGCTCCTATCCTTGCAAGGCATGTTTTCCCGACTTCTACTCCCACACAGTTTCTTTTCCCATGTCTCGCCTGTAATGGAGTTGCACCCTTGTAAGCCCATTGACTTTGGTGGATTTAGAAGGGTGTAGCTCTTCTCAGGACTGCGCTGTCAGTGCGTTGACAGGTGCCGGGCGGCAGAGCCCCGAAGATGCACGGGTAGAGTTTTCGTCTCTGGCAAGCTCCCAAAACTACCCTTTTTAATTTTTTAAAAAATTCTTTCAAAGCAGTTGTGCTGTTTCATGTTGACAGAGCAAAAGAATGGCGGGGGAGGGAGAGGGCAAAACCCAAGCCGAGCCGTGCCTTTCCTCATGTGGATGACAGAAACACCCGTGACTTTTTGTTCCTGGTAGAGAAGCGACATCTTTGCTGATGCAGAGACATTTCTGGAAATGTTGCTGTTTGCTTTGAAGGGGGTGGGTGGGGGTGAAGCAGCGTCCACGTGCGCACAATTAAGGTCGTCGGCTGAGCCAGGCTCCGCAGGGTTTCAGGTCGTGGTATTGTTGTCTAAGAGACGCCGGTGCTTTTGAATAAAGATCAGGAGCCGGGAGGCCAAGAATTATGCAGCCAGCGGCTCAGACTGTCTCCACACCACGTCACGGGGCACCCCGTGTTGGAAAGCAGGAGGGAGAGCCAGTTTGGTGCAGTGGTTAAGTGCGCAGACTCTAATCTGGGAGAACCGGGGTTGATTCCCCACGCCTCCACTTGCAGCTGCTGGGTGACCTTGGGCAAGCCACAGTTCTGTCAGAGCTGTCCTTGAAAGAGCAGTTCTTGAAAGAGCTCTCTCAGCCCCGCCTACCTCACAGGGTGCCTGTTGTGGGGAGGGGAAGGGGAAGGAGATTGTAAGCCGCTCTGAGACTCCGAGTGAAGGGCGGGGTATAGATCCAATCTCTTCTCTCTTCTTCAAAAGAAAATGGTGACATTGCATCGGTGGAGGGGAAACGGGGGGGAGGGCTGTCCAAAGTAAAGCAGTTAGCAGTCCCTCCCCAAAGCAGTTCTTTCGGCTCCCAGCCACGATGCACACGGTTAAGCCTTTTTTTGGACGCTCAACTGGTGTAGCGCTAAGCAAAGACTTTGTTTTGCACAGTGGGAGTGGCATATCCACTTTTGCAAATAAAAGCACTGCATATGTAAATCCTGTGTTAGGGAAGCCCTGACCTGGATGGCGCAGGCTGCCTCTGTCTCGTCAAATCTCAGAAGCTAAGCAGGGTCAGCCCTGGTTAGGACTTGGGTGGGAGACCACCAAAGAAGTTCAGGGTGGTGAACCTCTGAATGTCTCTTTACCTTGAAAGCCCCACTTAGTCACCGTAAATCAGCAGTGACTGGATGGCCAAAAGAAAAGTTAGGGAAAGTATCGATGTCAGCAGGAATAAAAGGTTTTACACCTGCCTGGCCCTGGAGCCACTTTGGTGTAGAGATTAAGAGTGGTGGACTCTAATCTGGGTGAATCAGGTTTGATTCCCCACTCCTTCACATGCAGCTAGCTGGGTGACCTTGGGTCAGTCACAAGTTCTCTCAGAGCTGTTCTCTCAGGAGCAGTTCTCGAAAGAGCTCTCAGCCCCACCTACCTCACAGGGTGTCTGTTGTGGGGAGAGGAAGGGAAGGAGATTGTAAATTGCTCTGAGACGCCTTCGGGTAGTGAAAAGCGGAGTATAAAAACCAACTCCTACTCCTACTCCTTCTTCTTCTTGCTTGGGGGGGCAGCAGTGGGAGGGCTTCGAGTGTCCTGGCCCCACTGCTGGACTTCCTGATGGCACCTGGTATTTTTGGCCACTGTGTGACACAGAGCGCTGAACTGGATGGGCCATTGGCCTGATCCAACTTTGGCTTCTCTTATGTTCCTATGTTCTTATGACATCATTTCTTTAAAAAAAACCTCAACAATAAAAAAGAACTGTCACCCCACCTTGTAAGATGCGTGAAGTGAAACCTCTGTCGGTGTGGATACATATGTATATGCACGTGTGCGTACATGCACACTTAAGAGGGGGAACTGACAAGGACTTGTGGGGGTGTGTGTAAAGCCTACCTCCCCATTCTGGACCTTGCTCTCCTCCCTAATCACCTCTGCCAACGCTGCTTTCTTCCCCTCC